TTGGACAAACAGACGTCCTCATGCTACAGTCCCTTGAAATCAGTGGTTTAGCTGCAATCCAGGTGAATAAAGAGGAACTTTTAAGGCCACTGGGATCATTCCAGCATACCAGAAGGCATAAAATCTCCCCTAGCAGGTCCCTAGGGCAGCCCCACATCTCCCAGATGGGGATCCGCCACCTCCTTATGGAGCCCCCTTCACCCAGGGGACAGTTTCCATGAACAAAGTCAATCATGACCACGTACTGGGTGGACGGTTCCAGAGACATGACTCTTTACAGAGGAAAGATGCTGGCAACACCAGGCTTCGGAGACACTAGAGACCAGTCTGTATTCAGAACATCCTGTGAGGCATGTGTCCCTGTGGAAATGGGCAGGCAAGGGCTGATACTACAGAAGGAATTATCTATCAGTGAGGCACTGTCAGAGGACACCAAACAGCCTCACAATTCGTTGTCTCTTCCAATTTTGTCTTCAACTCATTTAGTTAGCCTGGGTGGCTGCTGCTTCTATGCCCTGTTTGGGAGAGTCCAAAGAGTGGAAAAAGCCTCAAACCAAAAGCACTGCCAAGCAGACAGGTGAGCAGGTGCCTCAGCAGCAGCTGGCATGAGGCACTGCAAGACAAACCATACTCTTCCTACCCTCTGGCCGGTCATGGCTTGGGATACAAGTGTATTTTGCATCTTAGTCTCACCAGCTCTTTCCAGTATATCTGATAAAGAAGCAGAAATGGGGTCTGTGCTGACCTGTTAGCTTGCTGTCTCTTTGGGATCACGTTGGTCTTTGCGCTCTGTGTCTAGATGGTTCTTGGCACGAAGGGTCAGGGCCATGACACATCTCCTTTATACGCTGCCATCAACTCTTTCCACCGTGGAGCCCCGCTTGGGCTTTTCTCGTTTGACACAGGCAACGCATTAAGCAGGACGCGGCAGCTCCTTCTGCAGAGACTCTGCTTCGTAGTGTTAGCTCCGCGTGGAGTTTAGTGTAACGTCCCTGGCCCTGCTAAGTCACTTCACTGATTAATTTTGGGTGGGTTTGTTCTTCCTGTCAATATTTTTGCTTGCAGCAGTTGGGAGGCAGTGGGGTGGCAGCCCTGGAAAGCTCAGCTCATCTGTTTATCTGCCGGCCGGGATGGCTGCAGGATGACATCTGCATACCATTCCGCTGCGGATCACTTCCTCGTCCTGGAAGGTCGCGCTGCCTGCTGCTGCACCAGGGCGGCACAGCCCCGCACCGTCCCTGCCGTGGGGCCACGCACAGTCACCAGCTGGGCAGGCGCTGAGCTCAGGATAAGACCCACCGGTTTCACAAAGGGTCAAACCCAGGCAGAGACCTTGAGGGGGCCAGGAAAGGGAAGTTCATTTCCAGCACTGCCCAAATGTCACACAAGTGCCGCTCCACTGGTATGGTGTTTGGTGTGGAGGAGCCGGCTGGCCCAGGCGCTCGTCTCAGCTGCTCCCTTTGCATTCCCAAGCTCCAGGTGTCTCCTCTGACTGTCACACATTGCAGATGGGGCCATCCAGCTCACCACCACTCCCTCTGGCAAGCTCATGCTGTATTAAAGAAAGCCAGAAAGCCTCCTTTTCTTCTGGTTGGTCCCTCTTCCCAGTTCTTTTCTTGCCTCTGTTTAGTTGTTCTTCTCTTTATATCTCTTCAGATTTTGAACAGCCATTTATCAACAAGCCGGAGACCCTCCTCATCAGCAAGAAGGAGAACACTTGGGTACCATGCCTCGTGTCCATCCCAGATCTTAACATCACACTGATCTCGGTGAGAGCTCGGCCAGTGGGAGTCTCTGGACCAAGATGTATTGCATTTGTTCTGCATTTGTAATTGCCTGAGTGGAAGCAGGACAGGCACTGCCAGGAATGGAAAATGCATGGGATACATTTTCCATGGAAAATACAAGCCACTGGCTTCCTCGTTTTATTTGCTGGTTGTAGCTGTGCTGTCCAGTTCCCTTGGGAAGACCCCACGGGTTTCCTGACAACCTTGCTTCTCTTCCCTGGAGCTCTATGAAACAAAACAAGACTTTGTTTTAATCCCATTTCCCCACAGCAGCCCCTGTTTGCCCTGGTCTCTGTGATCTATAAACCCTCTAGGTGGTCAGCATCTCCATAAGGGAGGAGGCTGCAGCCCTGGCTATAAACCCTCTAGGTGGTCAGCATCTCCGTAAGGGAGGAGGCTGCAACCCTGAGGCCGATGACTAAAAACAACTCTGTTATCAGTTTGCTTGTGCCTTTTTTTTTCTTTTTTTTTTTTTTTTCAATTGAAAAAACATCCTCCCGGGAGGGGGTTGC